GCACGCGCACAGCCGCCCGGCTTCCCCGAGGCCGCCCCCGCCCCCGCACTGCGGCCCGCGCGCCCGTTGTCAAGGCGACGGCGGGGGTCGGAGCGGGAACCCGGGAAAGACCCTGCTCGTGCTCCCTCCGCCTCCACCTCCTCGGCGAACCCTACTCCGGTTTGAGCCGGTTTCCCCGCCCCGCCCCCACTGCGCACTGCGGCGCGAGAGGATTCCCCGGCCCCTAGGGCGCAGGGGGAGACGGGTGGGGGTCCGCGCATGCGCCCCGCGCCCGGCCTCCCTTCCCCTCGTCGCGGCGCGCGAAGGGAAAACCCTGGCGCGTGAGGCGGGCAACCCCAACGCACGCGCAGTGCGCCACTGGAGGACCCTCGGCCCCGCCCGGTCGTCCTGGCAACACGCGCGGGGAGGGCCGGGAGTGCGCGGAACTCCCCTCTCCCACGCCCCCTCAAAACCGGGGATTCCCTGCTGCTGGCGCGCATGCGCAGACTCGGGATTCCGCAGGGGCGTGACCGGTGCGAGAAAAGGCTTTGTGTAAAAAGTAGCGAACTAGCCACCTTTGTCTTTAAGGCTGAGAGCCGACGGCGATCCTCTGGCCTCTCCCCGGCCGGCGCTCTCCGCAGGGCCTCGGCAGACCTTGCCTCTCGCGGCTCCCCTCGCTCCCGCGCCCTCCCACAGCCACGCGCGAAGCCCGCCCCTCGTCTCGCTTGACCGCTTCCTGACGCCAGCCCACACCGACCCTCGCCCTCCCCTCCTCCCCACCACCAGGGGCCCCCTCGGGCACGCGGGAGGCCCCTCACCAAACCCCTCTCGGCGTCCTGCCCTTTCCAGGCCCCAGGTCGGGGTTCTCCGCACGGCCTAGGGCTGGGCACGTCTTTGTTTTTTTGAGACAGGGTCTCGCTATGTAGCCCAAGCTGGCCTTGAACCCTCGCAGGCCTCCTGCCTCAGCTTCCTGAATGCTGGGGTGTCAGGCGTGCCCAGCACGCCCGGCTTGGGCTTTCTTTAGTCCCATTTTATAGGGGTGGAAACTGAGGTTTACACCCCCGAGGCCTTTGCCTGACCTTCAAAGAGGCAGAGGGCGGAGGGCTGTGTTGGCTGGCAGTCTGCGCCCCCACCCCCCCAACCTCCAGGATGGCTTGGATGGGCTCTTGTCTCCTGAGTACCCCGCTTGCACGATCTCCAAACCGAGTCTGTGCTCCATCTACTTTGGGTAGCTTATTTTTATTTCGTCTTTCTGGGACAGGGTCTCGCTGTGCCGTTCATGCTGGCCTTCAACTCAATTTGTAGCCCAGGCTGGCCTCAAATTTGCAGCAATACTGCCTCAGCCTCCCGAGTGCTGGGATTACAGGCGTATACTACCACACCGGCTTGCTTTGGTTAGTTTAAAAAAATTTTTTTTTTGGCTGTGCTAGGGATGAACCCAGGGCCCACGCAGCTCATGCCGAGCCGTACCCTGGCCTCATGTTCAGCACGCTCGCTGTCTTCAGCTATCCCCAATTATTAATGGTACCCCCTTCCCTGAACAGGCTGTGCCTGCCAAGCCTTGGTAAGTAGGGCTCCTGTCTCCTCTCTGTCTTTCCCGGGTGAAGAACTCCTAAGCATCCTTAACCTTCCTCAGGAGACCTTCCCTACAAGCCCAACCCCCTTCAGTCCAGTCTGGACCCCTCAGGACTGGGGGCGTCTGTGGGACCTACATTCATCAGCTTTCTTCCTTGCTTTATTCTAAGGACTAAACTCAGTACTGACTGCGCTATAACCCCAGCCCTTTTTTATTCCTTTGGGAGGTACCTTGATATGTTGCCCAGGTAGGCCTCAGATTTGCGATCTTCCTGCCTCAGCCTCTCCAGTAGTTGTAATTAAAGGCAGCATCCTTCTTACCAGAAGAAGCAATAGGGCAGAGGGGGTCCAACCTGCTGTGTCTGAGAATCTGAGGACAAGGCAGCAGGGCGAGGCACTGAGAGGCAAGGCGGATGGAAAGGAGGTGCCACCTGTGGGCGGGGGAGCTGTAGAGGCAACCTGGTCAGAGCTTCCACCTGCCCCCTACCCATGTGCCTCAGTTTTCCCATCACGGCGACCTCAATTCCTCACAGGACTCTCCCAGACCCGGACTCCAGCAGGTGCCCAACACACCCTTTCCTTCGCCTGGATGGCCTCTGGGCTGCCGGGTGAGGGCGGCAGGCGCTCTGATCACTGGGCTTGCAGCTCAGTCTGTCTTTTTGAGACAGGGTCTCGCTATGCATTTCAGGCTGGTCTTGAGCTCACTTTGTAGCCCAGGCTGGTCTCGAACTCGCAAGGATCCTCCTGCCTCAGCCTCCCGAGCGCTGGGATTACAGGCGTGCGCCACCATGCCCGGCTGGCAGCCCTGTCTGGACGGGCCGTGGAATGTGTTGCAGGGAAGCAGGGTCCCAACCCACGCACCGGGAGCCCGGCCTCCAGCACCCTGCTGGCTGAGCCTCAAGGGCTGCACACCCGGGGCTGCGGGCCTGCGCTCCTCCGAGCCCAGCGGGGGCGTTCGCCCAGGCCGTTCACTGCGCGGGGCCCCAGGCCGGGCTTCGCCTTCCCACCGGGCCAGCCCGCCCCTCCCGCACGGGCATCAAGGGCACACGGCTCGCGCAGCCTGCCCGCCTTTATTGGGCGCTCAGCCTGGGCGACGGAGGCACGCGCGGTGAGGGTGTCGCCGAGGAGGGCCCCTCTGTCCCGCGATGGCGCTGATGGTGCCAGCGCCCACGCTGCCCCGCGATCCTGGCATCAGAGCCCGCGGGAGGGGAACAGCGCGGCGGCCGACCGCGAGAAGGGGCGGCGCTCTCAGTTCCGGTCTCACTTGGGGGCGTTGAAGGGCACGGCCCGCTGGTTCATGGGATTCTCGGGGGAGCGCAGCCACTCCTTCTTCAGCAGCTGCTTCAGCTGCGACAGCCGCATGTTGGGGTTCTCCTGCTTGAGGCGAGGGAGCTGGGCCTCCTCGAAAGCTGTGAAGGCCGCCCGCATGCGGCGCTCCGGGTGCCGATCTGCCTCCTCCGCCACGCTGCAGCAGACAGGGGGCGCATCAGCTGGGCTTGGGCCCCGCCCAGAGGCCGAGCCCCGCCCCACGAAGCCCCGCCCCACCCCAAGGACCCGCCCCGTCGGCCAGGCCTCACAAAGCCCCGCCCCGCCCCGATGGCCTAGCCCTGCCCCAAGACCACGCCCCGCGAAGCCCCGCCCCGATGGCAGAGCCCCTCCCCTCCCCCGCGGCCCCGCCCCACCCCGCACCTGAGCGCGGCGATGGCGTCCTCGATGGTGCGCGCCTCCACGCTGCCCTCTTCCTGCACGCGGCGGTTCACGTTCTCCTCCAGCGGCACCTCCAGGTGGCTCTTGGCTCTCTCTGCTGGGGGCCGGCCAGGCCGGGGGAGGGGGTGACAGAGACAGCGGTCAGCCGACGCAGACCCCGCAGACCCCGGGAGCCGGCCGGCGTTGGTAGTGGCGGGGGGGGGGGGGGGGGGGGGGGGGGGGGCACCGGAAATAAAAAA